TGGAGGGGGAGGAGGAGGAGGAGTCGTGTCTAAATCGATGGGGATGGGAGGGGGTTGGCCCTGCAGCTCCGACCCCAGCTGGCCGTATTGGGCCCTGGGCTGACGGCCCGGCGAGGCCCGGCAACCTCGGCCTCATCTGGACGCTGGAAGGAACCACATCCTGAGGGGGTCCGTGCTCAGGGAGGGCCCTGCCCCACTCTGCTGCAGCCCCGGGGAGCAGGCCCGGGGCCAGGTGGGCCCCAGGGTGCAGCGGTCCCTTGAAGCCCTCGTGGAGGCCCTTCTGCTGGGGGAACGGTGCCCCCGTCTGGCCCTGGAGCTGAGGTCTGGGGGCTGGGGGGGACTGGAGGAAGTCCTGGGGCAGCTCAGAGCTGAAGAAGGGCATCTGGGAGAGACTGTCCCCGCCGGGGGCAGGCGCTGATCCGGTAGGCCCTCCGGGGCCCGGTCCTGGTGTGGGGCCAACCCGAGCCGCTGACAGAGGTCCAGCTGGGGGCGCGGCTGCTCCTCCAGACCCGGGACCCATCGGGGCCCCCAGGAGGGCCTGCTGCTCCAGCTCCAGCCGCTGCTGCAGGGCACGATGACGCTCCACCTGAGAGCAGATATCAGAGTCCAACTCAGAGCTTCACCCAAACAGACAAACGAGGAGGAACACGACAGCAAACTCACACAGAGGCGGATGTGGAGTTCATGTGACAGCTGCAGAAGCTCTGATCAGAAGGACCACCGAGAGGCGCCGCTTCACACCACATCAACTGAACCATAAAAGAACACTCATCCTGGAAACGTTTACCTGCGGTGGGAAGTCACCTGACACGTGCTCTCAGAGTTTAACCAATCAGCATCGATCCCCGCCCAGCCTACAGGGACAGGTCAACACCCCAGCATCAGAAAAAGCTGCACTCCTGCCTCCAGTCTGTCCAGGAGCCCTGTATCGCTCTAGGAGAGGCTGTCTGCATGGGCTGCTGCTGCTGCTGCTGCTTTGTGTCGTGTTTTGTCTTGCTGGTGTTGGTCTGTCTGCCTTAGGTGTCGTGTTGTCTGTAAATCCTTCTGTCTCTCTCTTACTGTTCTGTGTCAGTTAGTATAACGTTGTCTCATCTGAGTCTGCTTTCTTTCGTTTTGTGTGTTCTTGTCATGTCGTGGAGCCTCTTCCTGTTTAGTCCTGTAGAGACCAGAGGAGGCGTCTACAGACTACAGCTCCTGGTGGCAGCAGAGAGCATTGTGGGAGTTTAGCAGCAGCAGGACCATGACAGAGACTCTGAGGAGGATCAGGGGTTTAAACCAAACCAGACTCAGCCAGACCAGAGTTCCTGTCTCACAGAGCTGACTGAGGAACCAGGTCTGTGGATTGAAACAGAACCAGCACGGGCCTCTGACTGAGACCTGGTTCTTCTGTAAGTGGACCTGGTTCTACACTCAGTGATGCTTTACCTCCTGCATGAGCTGCACCCTCTGCCTCTCCTGCTGCTCCCTCAGCCTCTCCCTCCTCTCCCTCTCCTGGAAGCCCTCACTGAACGGGTTGTTGTCGTCAAACTTCACCTGCAGAGGAGGTGGAGACACCAGATTAACCAGCGTGGAGGAGAAATGAACCCACGGGGAGGAGNCTACATCTGATGGAGGAACATCTTTCTACAGCTAATGAGCAGAGAGGAACAGTCTGGAGACATGGAGATGGTTCAACATCTGCGCACATGAGCTCAGAGAGACACTAAACTGTCCCAAATACATATGCTGCGTCGGGCTATATTTCAGAGACACAGAGGAGGTGGAGCTCTACCTGTCTGAGGTGAGCCATCAGCGGGTCAGAGGAGGAGGTGGAGCAGTGGAGGCTCTTCTCCTCTTCCTCCCTCTTCCTCCTCTTGTATTTGGGAGGAGCTCTGTCTTTGTCGGGTCGGGCCGGCCTCTTACAGCGCTGAGCCTTCTTCTTGCTGGAGGGGTCGAGCGGATCTGGACCAGGACTGTCCCTGCTCACCTGGAGGAGGATGCACATCACCTGGTCATAAATACTGTCCTGACATCTGCCAGTACAGGGAAACTGTTCCACTGCAGCCCTGATCAGTGCTACTATGGCTCCTTCTGGACCTCCTGGTTCCTGCTCACACTGGGCTGCACTGGGTTCTAGCTGCTCACTGGTCTTCTGGATCCTTTTCCATCTTTGTCCAGTCTCTCAGTCAGATGTTTCTCCTCCTCTGTTCAGGTCTTCTCCGTGTGGAGCCATGATGCAGACAGAGGCTAGGTTCAGACAGCAGGCTAACGTCACCCAAACCAGACGACCTGTATCTGATCTTTTCATGACAGCCTGAACAACACAGATTCGATTTCTCCAAATGCGACCCACTTGGATATGTGGTCCTAAATCAGATGTGATCTTTAGCCATGCGACTTCTGTGTGAACGGCCAGGTTGCATTTATCCGACCTACACGCCACTGATACACGACTAACGTCACTACTCTACGTTCAGGTGGCCTCCACACCCACACGCTTCTCTGAAAAGACGTTACTGCCACTGGCCCACTGAACGCCCAAACCCTGGTTCTCTTCCTTTTCATCTTGAAACGACTACGTTGTATATGTGCTGGCTCCAGTTGGACAACTTTAAAATCACAAGATACGCTCCACAACAACCCAGTCTCACGGCAGTTGGTGAAATAGTGACTAAACTTCATCTATTGATTCGTGTTCCCCAGCATGAATGTCAAACCAATACATTTCAACTGGACTTCTCTTTTCATGTCTTGTCCCCATCAGACAGAGCGTATACTGTGACGTTTTAGTTGTTGTTTTCTTCCAACAGTCAGCATTAACCAGTTCTCCTGTTCTGGCCCGTCCACACTGATAACTACAGAGATCACTGTACAGATGTGTGGCCCACACTGACCAACGGCGCTGAGCAGCTACCGTGAGCTCCAGCTGCTATTAGCTCCGTATTCATTCAGATAGAAAAGGCAAACAAATACTACTACTAGCTGTAGGAATAGCTGAAGAGCGGCCGGGCCGTTAGCGTTTGTTTTAATTGCTTGGAAAGCGTTCATCACCGTCATTTTGGTTCTGACATGCAGTAATTTATCAAAATGTAAATGACATTCTCATAGGGCTGGTTACCGCCGTTACCATCCGTGTTTACTTCCATAAACGCTGAGCACGCTCGCTGCGTGTGACGTCGTCGTGTCCTCTTCTGCGCATGCGGGACACTTTTGGCTCGTATGAAGTTCACACAGCAGATCACATACAAGTCGCATTGAAGTGGAAACGTGAAGGAAGTCACAAAGAAATCCTCATTGAGCATCAAGTCCTGCAGTGTGAACGTAGCCATAGACAGACAGTCCAGAGGTCCAGAACTGAGAAGGTTCTGCTGCTCTGAGCTCGTTGTGGAACCATGTTCATGCAGATAGACTGATGGAAACCACAGCTGGACTGGTTTGGTTTCACTGAGCACAGCTGGACTCACAACTGTGGGCTGAATATTTCTGCTTGTTCATCAGAGGACACTCTGCTGTTCTGATCACTGAGCAGGATGCAGCTCAGAGTCACTGCCACTACTGCCCAATAACCACACCCCCCTCCCCCCAAAGTAAAACCCCCTCACCATGTTGCCATGGGAACCTGGTCTGTCCTCATCCTCGGACTGGAGGCTGTCATTGGACAGCTGGCGGCGGGCGGTGGGCGGAGCCTGGCCGGTGGGCGAGGGCGTGGTGGCGGGGGAGGTGTTGTCTTTCAGCAGGTGTCTGAGCAGCTCCTTCCCCCCGTCGCCCCCCTGAGGACGAGAGGGGGAGGAGAAGCCCTCGACTCCGCCCTCCTCCAGCTTTACCACACCTGCCCCACAGGCCCCCCCCTCCTCACATTCCTCCTGCAGGAAGAGCACAAAAACACACCTGAGTACTACAGTATCACAGTACTCCAGTACTACCACAGGACTACTATAGGACTACCACAGGGTGCTGCTGCTATACTACGAGTATTACTACAAAGTACTGATACGGTCACAGCTTTGCTACAGAGTACTGCTACATCAGCATGACTACGATCACAGTACTACAACAAACCTTGACCTCCAGACGAGCTGCACACAGGGGCCCTCTCTGGCCCTCCATGCCCAGGATGGAGGCTCTTTGTTGGGCTGCAGAACTGACGGACAGCTGCCTCTCCAGCTCCGATGATGGAGCCAGAGCACAGCGAGATGAGCTCTGAGGGAAGGACACGTGTGATTGGTCCATGCTGCCATGAGTGGGCGTGGAGCAGGAGGTGTCTGAGATGGCCGAAGTGGGCGGGGCAGTGATGTCATCAGAGTGCGAGGACAGCGGCGTCCTGACTACTCCAACCGCGGCGTCGTCTCCATCCCTCCTCCTGTTCCGCTTCTTCTTTGGTTTGTCGTCAGGGATGATGTCAGAGTAGAGCTGGATGAGGGAGGCGGGGCCTCCTGTGGGGGGGCAGG